AATTTTAACACACTGGTTGGTATAAATGGTAATTAATTAAAATATTTATCCAATGTACAGCTAGAGTCCTGTAATTTGTTGGAGAGATTTAAAGCATTACTACAGAATTACTGCCTTTTGCCTTTATAGTGAAGAACCTGGCTACTGTGGATGAAAAAAACAACAACTGATGAGTGGTGACAATATTAATATAGTATGAACTAGGCCCTCCCTGGAAGTCCTGCACACATACTGGTGAACATCACAGATTTCAGGTAGATTGAATTTTTGTCTGAACCGCATTGGTTTGTGGATCATGTTGAAGGTGTGAAGACATACAGCATTTTCCATTCTGTGACTACCATGGGGAAAACCACACAGATGCCCTTTTAGGCATTTTCCTGTTTTTGGTATTTCTGCTTCTCTTCTCACCTCGGAAATGCAAAAGCGAGAGATTTGCTTTGAGAGTCAAGTCTTATGGTGCTGTTGTAGCAGCACATACAATATTTTCATGAGATACAGTATCTTAACAGCAACCATCACTTCTTTCAGGTGGGAAAGAAGAATACAGGCAACAGGCTATAATAGTATCCAATGCCAAAGACTCCTGGTTATAATAAGCTTGTTTTTAGGAGTTTTAAAACATTTTGCATGCCTGTAAGCTTCATCTTGAAAAAAATGTGTGAGTTTGGTGCTGAAAGTCAGTGCACTGGTAGATCCAAGAAGCAAAGTCCCCTGTGTAATGAAAATTAGAAGGAAGAGGCTTCCAGTGCATATGCTGGCCTGCTACCATATATCAGCTCTGCCCTCTGGGAACTCCTGACAATCTTCAGAAACCAAAAAGTTCTGGTCTTCACTATGTCTGTCCATTAGTATAAAGTACATTGGTGAATTTGGGATCTCAGAGCAGGACTGAAGCTTTCCCTCTAAGGGAAAGCAGCACTAGTTAGACTTTGCTTCTCTTTTAAACAGATTTTGTTAAACCGATGTAAAATACTGTGTAGATATTCTTACATCTGTTACAGGTCTAGGTCCAGTATTGTTCAGTTAATGATTTGGAGGTTAGAATTCAGTGCATACTTAGTATATTTGCAGATGATACCAAATTGGGTACAGGGAACATACAATTTGAAAGAAAAGAATAGGAGTCCAAATGACCTTCATATAGGAGAAATGGTCTGAAATAAATTAGGTGGAATCCAATATGACAAATGCAAAGTGCTTCACTTGGGACAGAGCAATCAAATGTACAAATACAAATTGGGGAACAATTGGGCTGGCTGCAGTACTGCAGAAAGTGGACTGTGAGCTGAATATGAATTGAAAGTGTAGGGTGTGGTTGTAAAAAGAAAAAGTCAATAGCATATTGGTGTGTATTAACAGGAATGCTAAGTACAAATCATAGGATGCTAGTGTTCCACTTTCTTCAGCACTGATGATGAGGTCTCACTTGGAGTACAGTGTCCACTTATGGGCACTTCAGGAAAGATGCAGTTAATTTTCTATGTTCATAGGACACAGGAGAAGCAGTAATCTTCTAAAATTGTAACAGTGAAGATTTAAGTTATATATGAGGAAGAACTTTCTCACTATCCTGTCAGACCAACCTGGTGGCCTTTTACGACCAGGTCACTAAATCATTGGATGCAGGGGTGGCAGCGGATATACTTTTCCTAGACTTCAGGAAGGCTTTTGATACTGTCTCTCACCCCATTCTCATTAGGAAGCTGGGGGACTGTGGCGTAGACACCCATACAGTCCAATGGGTCGCCAACTGGCTAGAGAGTCGCACCCAGAGGGTGGTAGTGGATGGGTCCTTCTCGACCTGGAAGGACGTGGGAAGTGGGGTCCCACAGGGCTCGGTCCTTGGGCCTGCCCTGTTCAACATCTTCATCAGTGATTTGGATGAGGGGGTGCAAAGCACCCTGTTCAAGTTTGCTGATGACACTAAGATGTGGGGGGAAGTGGGCACAATTGAGGGGAGCAACAGGCTACAGTTAGACCTAGATA